GGTTTCCTCATAACAGATTTCCCCACGATGACATAGTCTTGTAAGCTGCTTAGAACCATTATCATAGCAACGATTGAATTGCATAAGAACAATATGTAACAATAGACAATGCGCCTGGCAGTGAAATAAAAATAAGTATGATTTTTTTACTGCCTCTATATATCGCTGATACACCAATCCTTTTCGCATTAAGTGTGCTTCATACCTAAACCTCCTTGACGACACTATTTTTTCCGTGACTGTCAAAGTATTATTTTTATACTTCTTCATGAAGAACAAATAGTGACTTTTTATTTGAATATTGTGTCGAATTAAAGGGTATCCCATTTGATATTATATATATTGATATGATTCATTTAGCGGTTCATCGCAACTGATGAGACGCAATTTAGTATTCCTTAGGACTTTGACCAAGCCTCTAACGCTGTTTGAAAGATTCGTGAATAGAAAGAGATTGTGAAGCCTTCACAATTAACACACTCCTTATCTTCTCATATGATTCTTTTTCTCTCACAAGACTACCTGTATTAACTATCCCACAGCTGTAGCCTCAGGGGCTGCCACCACCACTTCTAGGGTAGTCCCTGTGTCAGACGAAGAACCGTACAGCAACTGCTTTGTTATGCATCGGAGTGCCACAAAAGCATCACCATAACTGTCTAGCGCAACAAAAAACATACAAACCCCTACAAAGACACATACGCGAGCTGCGGTGCGATAAAAGTCTGCACGGCGCACTTTTTCGCTACGAGAACTGGCATAAACCTGCCGTAGTCTACCACCAAAAGACCAAAGTGTGGCAACGGAAGTTTTGGCCTTGCACCACATACCTGGCACCATGTAACACAAACGTACACACAGTAAATGCTTCCACCATTCTAATATGTATACATATATTACGAAATAAAGAAAAAAGAAGGAGAAGAATGTGCAATAAAATAAAAATATTTGAGGGTATTATGAAACAACCTCAGTCATATCACACTTCTTATATAAAAAAACTCAGAAGCTCACTGAATATCTAAAGAAAAGGAAAAGCAGACCAAATTTTAACAAGCAAACAAGACTATCAGTAACTTGGAAACTAAATTTAGATGTGATAAATTATCATACAGGACACATGAAAATTAATCAAGCAGAAACGGTAATAGATACATGTTTCAAGTCTATTTGGTTCATTCCATTTTTAAGCCCCTTCAGTCGTCGTTTGAGGAGCTCTTTATATAAAGAAGAGATATTGTAGCCAATGCATCCACAATTGCCCCACAAATGCTATTCTAGCTAAACAAGGTAATAGTTGATAAAAAACTAAATGGACGGCAGAACCACTGGTTACTATAACCAGTTGGCTACCCTAAATTAGCTGGAAACAGCGTTACAGCCTTATCGGATGCTCTACCTTATCTTTTCGCCGACTTAATAGTGCATAAGCTGGTCGACACCAGCCTCTGTCGTAATCTCCTTGTGAAAGTTGCCGATGTCAACCGTAAAAACTGTAAAGGTTCTGTGTCAAAAAAAGCATTAAAAACAGTAATACTTGTATTCTGTAAACAGCTGTCTAAACAGTAAGCGTAGTTTTCTACAATGTTCAGAGAAAAGGTGGTTCATAGTTCCAAAGGAAACATCAATAGTGCTGTTGATAAGAACGAGACGCAAAGCATCACAGCACGATCAGATCATCATGTTCACAAATCATTCTCTGGATAAATAAAAGCTGTCTAGTTAGCCAGGATTCTACTATTATACATGATTTAGCCGTTAAATGGCCCTCTACGATTAACCACAGAGTCAAAAAATAGGTGAATTTATGAGATCTATTCTAATTCTGACAGGTAAAAAAACGTGGAGACATAGTGAAGTAAAAGAGAATGTAAAGTTTGGTACAGAACTGTATTACATTACGTAAGAAAAGAACGCAAGATAGATGTACTAGTTAAAGTCGTTAAATAGTAAAAATAATAAGTTTTAAGTGTATGATGATACCCATCCACTAACTTTGTTATCGTTTATAGGAAAAAATGATATAAATACCTTAGAGATGGTAAGGGTTCCGAAAGCTTGCTTGACAATTTGAAAAAAATGGGAAGAAAAGGAAGCTCGCATAACGTACCCACGCAATGGATGTTTGATTATTTATACGATCTCCTCGCTAACCAATATTTGATGATACTCCACGAGGATCTTATTCAATTCTGGGCTCATCACAGCTGTTGGAATCAACACCCGCAACGACTCCCCTAGTGCGGCCTGGAGTACCGCCTGTTCCCTGAACTGTTGGAAGTTTTCCGTTGTCTTGGAAGACATAAGCGCGACACATAAAGTCCGTATGATACGTGGCACGAGCTCAGGAGGGCAATACTTGCCTTGTATGCATTCAGGTGAAATCTTCCCTAAAGCATGAGCAGCCTGCGTGCGCACCTTAAATACATTATCACGCACTACAACTGTCATAAGCGCATCGATAGCAATCAGAGAGTAGTTAAGCTCCGCTTCGAAAAGCACCGTCCGTGAGAGACCTGTGCCCAGCGCATAGGCGGCATTCCACCGATGTTTCGCGTCACGGGTGCTCTGTGTGAGGAAGTTCAGCAAGGTGCGCAAAAAACCCTCCCCCACGCACTCCCTCACTTCCCCACTGAAGACTGGCAAGTTCGCAATGAGCTCTTCAAAGACTAAAACCTGAAGGAGGTTATTGATCATACGAATACCATGGCCTTGTACGGTAGAGTTTACGTCTGAAACCGCACTCATAGTAGCAAGGAACAACTGATCGATGTGTTCCACCGACTCACGAATAGGGTACTCGGGCTCCTCAAGCCTCGAGGTCAGGTTCGACACCGCGAAAGACGCCTTGCTGCGAACAAGGCCATCCGAATCATGCACCAGGGCTGAAAAGGCGGTTGCCAGAAACGCAGGCCCGTAAGGATCGAGCACAGGGTATTGCCACACCCACATCCCTAACGCTGTGAGCGCCTCCGAGCGCACCCCCCCGCTCCAGTGTTGAACGGCCGCCAGCGCATAGCGTACTACCTGTTCACGCTGCGCAGCGCTCACCTCCTCGCTCGACAAGCAGCCCTCACCGATCTGCGCTATACAACGCAGGGTCACTACGCGCACCTCTTCACTCGCTTCCAGCTGCATCGCGCGCAGGATGAGCTGTTTGAAAACCGCAACCTTCTGATGCGGCGCCGCACGGTCCTCGGTGTTCTCGGTTTTGAGCGCGGGATCGCCAGGGTTGTTGTCAAAGGCCTTCCAGGTGTACCCCATAAAGTGTGTCCAGGCCCGCAGACACTCCGAAAAGGCACCAGACGAAGCAGCGTTCGCTGACTCCGTCCCTGCCGACGGCGTAACCCGTCCGCGTGATCGCTCTGGCGATGTATTCACAGACGAAAGTGCCTTTGGATCATGATGCGATGATGGGGGGTTATGCGGCAGCGTCGCCTCCAAATCAGAAACCGTATTCTCCATTGGTTTATCGCCTTGCGACTCCGGCGTCCTTTTTGAGTCCTGGGGACACTTCACGGTCGCCGCCTCCTGCCGCAGCAGCACATCTACCACATCGCAGGAGGTCTTCAGAAGGGGCTCAAAGTGCTGCTGAATCAACTTGGGATAGAAACGGGCGATGTGGACTAAACAACGCCACACCTCAATACGCTCGGTGGCATGAACTAGTAAATCAGTGATGAGAAAATTCCCGCGATGGGAAGTTACGCCTGCGTTTTTTCCAAATGTTGCTTTGTCCCGCTTCTTCCCCAAGGGTGCTAGGTCGCGAATTGCGTAGAGGTGTTCCGAAACACGGCTCTGGAGAGACTCATTCTTGAAAACGTTCGCCAGAAACCCCGTGGCGGCGATGAAGGGCAGTCCGCTCTCATCACGAAGGTGCTGCCGTAGAAGTGGTGAGTCGAGCGTTTTCAGCATGACTTGCAGCGAGTGCGGACAACGGTTGTAAGCTGTGACGATGGACAAAACCGATAACACGTTAAACCACAGTGTCGCGTCGTTTCTCGCACAGGGTAAAGTGGGCTTGTCATACGAATCCAATAAATGTATTTTTTCAATACGACCCTCCCGTTTCGGTAAATAACCGTCGCCGGTCATGAGGCTCACCTCTCCGCCGTTTTTTATGGCCCAATAAACAACGTCATGAATCATCGAAAGCGCGGATCCCCCTTGCGTGGCCAGAGAAACAAAGGACTGATGTTTGCACTTGGGTTCCTCAGCAAACTGTAGACTATTCTGGAGTTTATGAAGCAATGCAGTCAACGCCAGCGTCGCTATGCTGCGCGAGGTGGGAGAGGGATCCCACAGAATAGGGGTTAGGAGGGGGTGACGCACATGAAGACCGGCGCAAGGGTCCTCGTTAGGAAACAGCAATGGCAAAAAGGCGGCCGAGTTAAAGTCAGCATCTGGAAAACGATTGAGGACAGCACACAAAGCCGCGAGCGTGCTTATACGCAACTTAACCATCGTTATCATTCCATTAGCCTTTGTTCGATCCGCAGGCGAGCCCTCTTTCACCCCCGCAGAAGGCAACGTACACTCCTCTTTGGCATTCTCATCGCGGGGCTCTTCTTCGATCACGACGCTGGAGGGGTCGATGCCGTATACAGAGAATCGTGAAACCGCCTCGATGACAGGACGCATGAACTGTTCAGAAAGCTGTGTGTCCGGCAACGTTACGGCGGCAGCCTGATCAACCGCCATACGGCTGCCAAGCCAACACTGAAGGTCGTATGACTCGTTGTTGTTGCCATGAAAGCTTGCGTTTGCCGATCGCGAAGATGAAAAGGATGAAGAGGTCTTCAGAGGACGTGTGCCCGAGTGCGCAGACCCCTGACGACGTGCTGAGGAGGCTCCCGGCGTTGTTTGAGCGCTCATACCGCGAGATCCGCCCCCGCCTGGTGTCGACGTATCCTCATCCGGGTAGGTTTCAAGACAAAACCACGCAATAAGCTTGCATAGTACAATAACCTCCTGAAGAGTGGAAATGGAAACTGTTTTAGTATTTGAAGAAGCTTCACCTACCTTCGTGTTGCGTCGCGGGCGCCGCGCTTCCGTGGAGAGTATCGAGCTAAGGCGCGTGACCGCGAGCAGCAGCAGATGCGTAGACATACCACCTGCGGTGTTCATCTGCCGACTGGAAGAGTTGGGCGATGGCATAGTAGGGGTCAGCTGCGTGGAAACGGTGCTCCTGGCATCAGTTTCGCCTTTCACCTCTAACCGCGACGCAGCCTCCTCCACGATGTGAGTAGAATCCCCTTGAAAGCGATCATAAAGTTGTCTCATCGTCATCACGTAATTCGACAAACGCACGGGCAAACGAACCCTGTTTTCGTTTAAAATAGCACATTTATTGTTAATCGCGCGGTTTTCCTTATCTTCACAATTATCGGATAATTTGAAGTCCTCCACAAAAAGATCCACATTTGAGAGGGAGTGATTCGTTTTGGCATCGGTTCTCTGCTTGCCAGGCCGATTGGGATTACGATGTTGAGACTCAGTTCGTTTATTGCCTTCATCTTGCGGCTGCTTAGGCAGTTTTCGCCTTCTACGACGCGCCGCAGTCTGTGGATTCGGTGAATTTGTCCTCAGAGTAATAGCAATGGCTACTGAATCTGTCTGCGGTAAAGTTTTTTCGACATTAGGCTCATCAGTCTTATGAATCACGTTATTGGGAATTTTACCGCCGTCATTGTGCTTATTGCGGTGTCTACGCGACCTCCCCTTTTGGGGCATTTATTTCCTTGGTTTTATAGCCAGTGAATAATGCTATTTTTTTCAGTTGAAAAATATCGAAATAAAAGTGCCTATTATTTCCCAAAACACTTTTTTGTAATAGATGATAATGATAAGGGTGCTTTTATAAGCAAAAACACGGAGAGAAAATAAAATCTTAAATATACATAAAGAGAGACATAAATTTTTGAAAAGGAAAATAATCAACCGCAGCATTAGTTCGTATAATTTATTGAAGAATTAACGTGGTAAAGTAAATACTTCAAATAGAGCAATAATAAACATTGGAGAGTATCCCTAAGAGATCGAGCAACCAGTATAAAGAAGTGTGTTTTTCTTCTAGCTTTACGCTCCTAGAAGCCACGTCAGAATATGAATAACATGATGCTTTTAGTAAAACCGTATAATATAGAACCTAATTAAATAGTAATGTAAAAATAAGAGAATAATACCCCTAACAACATTATATTTTATTTTAGATGTTACGTCAATAGAAATGTAATTCCAATAGCCTTACAAAAAAAAGATGGAAAAATAGTTTGCTATTTTTTACTATATCGTATTTACAAGGACACTTCTCTAGACAGCAAACTCAGAGCTGAAATCTGTGACCATACTGCATCCTTTATCTTGGGAAAGAGAAAAGCAATAATACCCCGCTCTCTAGGGGCCTCGACGTCTAGTCCAAGCGAACAACACCTAAAGATTTTTTTTTGCTTCGGAGTTTCATGACATTAACTGGTTTCTCATTTTTTATACTGCCACTAAGAGAAGTATTATTCTGAGTAAGAACTGTAGTAGACCCTAGGGAAGTGTCCATCTTATTCCCCCGTAACGACATCATGGAGATTAATGAAGACTTATCAAACGTCTGGCCGGTGTTCTGAGAAGCTTCCATCAACGGTGGAACCGCGGAAGAGGGTATATTCGTATTTACCGGTATCCTAACCACCTCTCCCCATCCATCACTATCAGTATCCTTCGCATCATGGTTCCCTTTTGATAGCTTCAAGCTGCCTACATCATCCTCCCAGCCATCGTAGGCATCCGAGTAGCTTTGCTGCAAACCCTGAGAAAAGGTCTGCGCAGGCCCCAGGAAACTCGTGTTACTTTCCGAGTGTGATGGAAACGATGGGGAATGCGAATGGGATGGTTTGCTCAAGGGTGGCTTGGCGCCACTACTGCTCTCTTGAAGCCATTCTGCCCTACTTTCATAGGTCGTCGTTCCCTCATTAATGGAATACGACCGCTGGGTTTTATTCGAAACGGCATCTTCTTGTCGATTGTCCTCCAGCTGATGCGCTCTCTCCAGTTCGAGGCATAGATAATGATCGGCCTCAAACTTCTCTAGTGAGTTTTTCAAGATTAAAATGGAAAGCTCTCGGACGTTGCCGACAGGGTCGGTGATGAGCGGCACGACCCTCGGAATGACCACCTCGGAGAGCTCCCGGGATTTCAGCTCCGCCAAGACGGTGCCTATCGCCTGTAGCGCGGCAATGCGACTGGGCACGAAGGAGTCTTTTAGCATCCGCACAGAGGTAGACACTAAAACCTTTTGCCGGACCTCTGGTGGCATGTGCTGCGCGATCATGGAGAGCGCGATCGTCGCGTTGGTGCGGATGACACCGTCGGAATCGCTCTGAACCTTTTGCACAAGAAACGGCACCTCCTGTGTAAGAATCCGCGGACTAAGCTGCCCAGCAATATGCACCAGCGCCCGTACGGAACCATCGCGGATTCTTGCAGAGGTGCTGATAATGCCCTTAGCGAACAAGGGCCATATCTTTTCCAGCATTGTCCGCGAGAGGCGGCTACCATAAACATCCATCGACTCCAGAAGAGAATATTGGATAGCCACGTTGGTAGACTGAAAAAGCAGGGCTAGGTTAGGAGCGATGTGTGCCTCGAAGGCCGCGTCGTCCACAACGAGCTTTGAGATTTCTATTATAGGATTAACGATGTTCACAGGAGGGGTGTCCATTTGAATAAGCTCCATTAACTTTGGGATAATCGCCATCAGACAAACACGAAGGGGAAATTCCGACACTGCGGAACTCAGTCGATCCATAAGTGTTTCTCGCTGTGTAGTATCCATAAGGATGTACTGATCGATATCACTAAGACATTGAACATAGGTGCTCTCGTTTATAAAATCACAATTCTCAAGAAATCGCGATATTGCACTGAGAGCATCTCCTTTGTCAGATAATAACCGCACAAAACTAACCTGTAAAGAGTCCGGAAGCTGCTGCTTGCAGCTATGCACACTCTTTGGGCTCAAAGACGCTGTATCAGCGTTGGCGCTGCTTCGGCTGCGAAAGGCTTCGAATATAAGACACGCCATACACCACATATCTACCGACGAATTTTGCCGTCCTATCCTATCAGAAATGCGGTACGTGGGCAAGAAGTCCGCCGCAAGTTTATTGTACAGACTCGCGTCGTGATTACTGCTCTCTACCTTATTCCCGCTCGTTGAAACCAGCTCCAATCCCCAGAGCCGCCAGAACCCTTTTTCGGTAACGTAAACCGTTTCCCCGCACATGTTGCCGTGCATCAATCCATTCCTTCCCAAGTCAATCAGAGCCTCCCCAACGTGTTTCAAACCAAGCGCAACCTCTTGCTCGTATCTCTGCCCTTTCAGGTCACTATAGGACTCGTGCGGGGAATCCATGTTAGTCATCAAACACGACAGCGGATCGCATCTCTCCGTTGCGATGTAGATGCAGTTGTCATATTCAACTCCACCGTAACATCTGAGAACACCCGGTAGCATCAGGCTCTTGGAATATTTTAGCGCGTTTCGTGCTAGCAACCTTCTATTTGTATCCTTGGGATCCTGACATACTTTTTCTTTGCTAATAGATATTGTGAAAATACTTACTGGCATAGCGTCCTCTACACGAGTGCCTTGGCGAATCGTCCAGCTCAGAGTTGCAGTGTTATGGATGTATTCTGGTTTCGCACTATCAATTTTGAAGGGAAAATTTGGAATGGATCCACCCAAACCCATCACTTTTAACAGAAATGACATATTACCTTCTATTTTATATAATTTAAAACGCTGATTCTTCCAAATTATTTTCAAAAGGCTGTATATGACTTTCTAATATTTATTTCCCACTATTGATTTACATCAATTTTCAAACCTTCTGATGGATCTTTGACTTTATTATTACTGTGTATGCGTGTGTGTGTGTGTGGGG